AGGAAAGGAAATAGAAGTCCTTGGCTCAGGCAGCCCCCAGTTCTTCCCAGTAATCCGTCTCAGCTGGGAAACCTTCCTCGGTTCTCGGCACCCTCAGCTGTGTCACCAGGATCTCTGCTAAAGCCGGGTGGTGGTCCCCCCTACTAATGCTGTGGGGTCCCCACTCTGGCAAAGGCTCGTGGTCTTCTCTCCTCCAGGGCCACGGGAGTCCTCACTCAGCCAAAACCGCATGGTTCTCTCTTCAGTGGCTGGCTGTGTCTGGGTTTAAATCCCCGCACCAATCTTCCTCTGCAGCCCCACTTCCAACTCCTCCCACAATTGGCCTCACATGCCAGAACTCATATCCTTCCAGCTTTACTGGGCTGCCATCATGAGTCTGGGCAGGTGTGGCCCCATGTTATGAAGCCAGTCATCTCCAAGCTCCCACACAGGCGCTGCAACTTGGGGGACCTGCCCCACAGCTACGTCCCAGTGGGGAAATCACCTCCATTCCCCCTGGCCCAGAGCATGGCCACAGCTATTCAGCATATCTAAGCAACCAGCCAAAGGCCATAGGTATGTCAAATGACCATGCCATGGATTAGCTGCAAAGCTGTTGCTGTACAAAACAGCCCTGCATGTTCTTGCTCCATGTGTCCCTTCCCCCAACTCACACCCATGGGGGAAGGGGTGAAGACATCGCAAAATTTCCTGGACACCCTAAGTTCTGGACCCCATTTCAATTGCCCATTTGGGGTCCCCCCTCTTGGCTGCACCCTGTAACATGGATGCTCGTCAAAACACGAGAAAAACATACACAGGGACAACTAAGTCCTGTGGGGAAATAGGGATGAAACGGCCACTCTCTCTAGTGGAGAGCGTCTTGGCCACCCTCCCTAGGGGAGGGCGCCTCATTCTCCCACCCAAGCAGGCTTTTATTAAACATACTGATCCATTTTCTGAGTTACTGTCTGACCAGGAAGATAAAACAAGTAGTTAACTTTGAAAGGGGCTTTATCATTTAAAAAGACTACAGGACCTAAAAGGCTAGTTTTGTTTCCTGACTGTGCCTTCATGTTCTAATTAAAGAGCATCCTCAGCAAGCAGATCTCACAGGATCTTTCATATTCTATGTCTCAGGCCTGATTACCCTGGGGGTCCGCTGACTCTGTTCTGGACTGCACCGCCCCTGTTATTTCCACAGGCCTGAGTCAGGCAGAGAAGACAAAGGCAGCCAGGAGACTTGGATTTCTCATAACTAAGAACAAGGACTCAGGCTTTGATAAAGCCGAGGGGGCAGGGGTCGATGTCGATCACTCCTTCATTTCCACAGCCCCAAGTCTCTTCCCTGAGGCCTCCATATGATCATGCCTGTCTTAGGCGATTCCCCCTGTGGGAAATCTTACCCATCATTTGCTAACTGATCAAGCATTGGAGGCCAACACAGAACAGGCAGTGTTCATGCCAGGGAAATAAGTTTTGTCTCCTTAGTGTCTCCTGGTTCTGAGGTCTTTTTACTTAGCCTTAGCTACAGGTGGTTACAGTTTTCCTGAGACCAGGCAGGGTGGACCTCAACAATTTCCAATGTCCTAAGAACCTTTAAATTGCTATTTTGAGTTTGTTTTTAAAGTTGTTTTAGGTGGTGGTGGTGAGGGTTAGGAATAAATATGGTTCCTGTTACTACATCTTAGCTTAAAGTGGAAGTCTTCAACTGGAGTTTTTAAAGAAAATGTAAAGAAAGGACTACTTGAGGATGTGAGGAAGGGATTTTGAGGTAACTGGGCACCAGTAATAATGGGATCTGTTTTGCCACTTGAGGCCTGGAAAAGACACAGTGAAGGAAGTTTATCAGAAGGAAACATAAGACAACCTCATATTAGGATAATTTTCAATAAAGAAGCTATTTAGAAAGATGAGGACAGCCTAAATCACTGTGGCTAGTAACAGCAGGTTTGTTATATTCCTATGCTTAACGGGGCAAGGGGAGGAATGGTTGCAGACTGAAAGGGAGAAGTCATGTGAAGAAGGCTGCCTTGAGAGGGCCTATTAACCTTAGTTTGAGAGGTACAGCAGACTCAAGGCCACACCACAGGAAGCAAGTCCCAACCTTACTCTCTTTGCTCCTTTGAGACTTCTGCTAATGCTTGCCATTGGCCAAAGTCAATCAGAAGACATGATTAGAGAGCCTTGGAGATCCAGACTATCGTCCACAGGACACAGAGCATCAGAGAAGGATCAAGGATGGATATGTGGTAGAGGAAGGGGCAAACGGAGAATAACCTGTGCAGAGAATCACTGATAACCTCTGATTTTCTGGCTATCGTATCAGTGTGGCTGGTGGTGCTGATCACTGAGCTAGAAGAGAAGGAATAATAATATGTTTCAGGAAAAGAAGAGTTGACATGCAAGGGAGACATGATGAGAATTTCTTCTCAGACTAGGCATGTTTCCTCCTGGAGGCTCCCGTAACCCCCTCTTTATCATCTTAAATTGTTTAGAACATCTTTATCATCCGAGATGACAAATGAAGCAGAGTTCATGTGGGAGGTACATATACGATGATTTATGTGTGGGGTGCGTTTAGGGAGAGTGGGGAAATCAGGTAGAAATCATTCAGCCTAAATGTATTACCAGTCCCTTGGCCATCTGGATTTGGGGCTGAGCAGCAATGAAATCTGTTGCAGACAGGGCTGAGAGCAGAGTAGCTGGAATTCTGCTGAACTGGCCATGGGGTGGAGAGGTTAAGAAAGGACTCAGTAACTGATTGGATATGGGGAATGAAAGTTGAGAAGAAGACAAAGTCTGTAAAGTCAGGAATGATTTAGGCAGAGTAAGTCCAGTGTAATTTACCAGATTTTTTGTTTGTAGAATTATGTTGCTGAAGGAGCCTATTGTTAACATGTTTAATGGTCATCCTGTGACGTAGTAGAAGGAGCAGAGGATTGCAGTCCCAGTCTGCTTTTCATTGGCTCTGGGAGGTTGGGCAAGTGACCTGCCTACACAGTTACCACCTCAGTTACCACAGCTGTAAGTGGCGGACCCCTCCGTGGTTGTTGGGGGATTAGCGAGGACATCTACCAAGTCACTAGTGCCATGCCTCCTGACACAGTAAATGCTCGTGAGAAATTTATTGATCCAAGATGAGGAGTGGCTCAGAATAGAAGTACATTTAGGAAACATTGGATTCATGTGAAAATACATATTGAGGAAACAGAGGTAATAATACTAAATTTCTAATGATCTGTTAAGGGAAGAATAGGGTATTGGAGGGGGCCTACCACAAAGTCCCCCATCAAAGACAGTTTCTGAAAACATCGTAGCTCCCTTTCCCTTTTCTTCTGAACAGATTATTCTGATGTTAGTGTGTAGGTTAGATATGGGGCTGGGTGGGCACTGGTTTGCCCCACCACCTGTTGTATCCGAGGGCCTCCAGGAGGGTAGAAAAGGCCTTCTGTGTGCCTACCTGTGCTGTTAGCCCAGACTTGCTGCCTCTCCACACAGTATCGTGTGAAAACATGGGTATCTCAAGATTCTTCTTGTTAAATATGTCAAGTGCCCATTATCCCCCTTCCTATCTTGTTATTTTTAAAAAAAGCAATGGCATGGAGGAACAACAGTTTTAGGAACTGAAAATGTACAGCATAGAGGAGAGAAGACTCAGTAGGAGGTTGTGAGAATCATCTTCAAATATTTAAAGGGGCAGCTCACCCAAAAGGGATTAGATGGTTTGGATGATCCCATGGTACGAAAACAAGGACTAGAGGGTGGGAGCCATACAAGGCAGAGTCTGACTTATTACAAAGAAGAGCTTTGTGATTACAGTAATAGCTGCTCATGGGAACATTCAAACAGCACGGGAAAGTTAAAAATCACCCTCCCCAATCCCTCTGCATCACTTTTCTAGGCAGGTGTTTGTGTGTCCTTCCTGAAATCTGGTATGTTGGGTCTTTATACGGCTCAGTGGTTCTCAAACTTTCACATTTTCAGGACCTGCTGGAGGGCGTCATACAGGACCCTGAGCTGTACTCCCAGTGTGTCTGAATCAACAGATCTGAGCAGGAGCCTGAGAATTTGCATTTCTGACAGTTCCCTTGTGGTCCTCATGCTGTCTTTCTGAGACCACACTTTGAGAACCACTGATACTCTGTCCTCTTTTAAGAAATAATATATATGGGGTCTAAGAACTTGCTTTTACCCAGTAGTATTAGCATTTTTCTTTAGCTCCCTCTCATTGTTTGTAACAGCTGTCCCCTATTAATAAACACTTAAATTATTTCCAGGGTTTTATGAGTGTGCTCTTGCCTTTACAAAAAATGTTGTAATGGACTTTCTTTGTGTGTATTTCTTAGGTGAGACGGTCTATACATTCTTAGAAGTTAAGCTGTTAAGTAAAAGTGTAGATTTTAAAAGTGGATAAATATTGATAAATTTGTTCTAAAGAAGATTCAGCCAATTACTGTCCACTAAAAGTGTATGAAACTGTCTGTTTCCCCACACTCTTGCCAGAAGCACTACCAACAATTTTAACAGTTTTGCCAATTTATTGTAAAATTGTGTCTCAATATTGTTTTGATTTGTATTTCCTACATTGTTTGTGAGGGGAAAGGTTCATTTGTATTTATCACATTTCTTTTTCTGTAAATAGCAGGTTTTTTTATTCTTTGCATCATAGGGAGCAGTATGAATAAAGGTGCCAAACCTTTATTTGAGGGGTCCCCAGTAGTTTTGTAGAGTTGAAGTATCAGAGGGTTTTGATCAGGGAGGGAGGGAGGGAGAGAGGGTTAGAGATGCAGGCAGGGCCAGAGCTTTGAGGTCCTTATGGGCCAAATGAAGAGTGTGAGCTTCATTTTGGGCAGACACAGCATTGGTGGTGGTTAAGCTTAAACTGTAGCACTTGGTAATTTTGACAGAGAATGTTTGTGGCATGGCAGACTATCCAGTTCTCCAAGTCTAATGTTTAACCTTCTAATAACTCATTCTTTAGGCCTCTCACCTTGGGCCTTAATGGTGTTTGGCCATGCTTCATAAACAGGTAAACACAAGATAGGCCAAAACCTCAGCCAGCCTCTGGCGGGCCTTGCCTTTGAGGAAGGAGTTTCACAGGACTGTGTGGGGAGTGGATTTTGTTGTTCTTCCTAATATTGCCGAGCCCTTCCTGACAGCAGTCATTAAGGTCGGTGGCTTTTTCTGTTCTTCTAATTTGAGTGGCTTTCTGGGAAAAGCTGTGGATTTCAGCCAGTGTGCTAATGTTAACGGCATTGCTTTGAAGGTCTGGTTAGTTCTGTAGAGAAACATTTCATAGTTAACTCTATCAGCAAATCAACAGCAGCCCCTTGGAGAAGAAAATAACAAGAGGCAAAGAAAAGACATATACAGGGTGGGGCAAAAGTAAGTTTACAGTTGTTCATATGGAAAATAATATAAAAATAAATAATAATACGAGAATAAACTTTCACATACTCACAACTGTCCCATGCTGTCTATTTACATTATTCAGAATTCAAAGAGAGGTCAGAGACTCATGTTTCTAAAAGAAGAGTCCGTGTAATACTAAATCACTGTTTGCTTATAATTTTCCCTGTTATGGGCTTAGCTTTGTACTTGGCACATTGGGGTTGAAATATAATAACTGTGTGTTTAGAATCAGGCCAGCAGCCCTCGCTCTCTTTGTGCCTGTGGGGCCATTTTTCTGCTCCCAGGGTCCTGGCACGAGAGTGCCACCATCACGTTCCACCTTTGGCTTTTAGTGAACTCAGGGTTTGTGAGAGACAGACTGACTCAGACAAGGGGCTCGCTCTCCATCTTCCCTCTGGCCTTCACACCTGTGCCCATGGGAGGGAGCCCTCAGTCAAGGAGGGGGATTGTCTTAGGGTAGGAGCACAGTGCTTTACACAGAAGAGGGGTTTGCTGATACTGCTTCTCAAACTCTCCATGAACAGAGAGTCCTCAGAGGCCTTTTATTTTTAAAGGTATTTGACTATTTTACACATTAATAATTTTCCCTTCCCTCGCAACCCAGAAATTCCCCTGTTACTACATTACAGTGCACTGTGCTTATCTGTAGGGACAGTGAAGCAGGGGGCAGAATATTCTCAGTTAATACCAGTGTTTCTCCCGGTTGCATTTGTAGTGATATAAGGTAGTCTGTATTAATCAGGGCACAGAGAGGGCATTCACAGTGACTGAGCGACTGCGAAGTTTTCACAGGATGAACACACTGGGAAGGGTATTCTAAGTGTGTCCAGGAGGAAGGCAGCTCGGTTAGTGTGAGAACCCAAGTCATTTGAGGGTTAGTAGCAAGAGTCCTGCCCTGACTCCGACAGACCTGAATTTGAATATGGCCTCCTTTCTCTTCGGGCTTTGTCACTGTCAATTAGGTATTAGTCCTCTTGGAATTTCAGTGTCCTCACCTGTCAATGGGAGAAACAGCACATAACACATATTTTGTAAATCTGGCTTCCTTTCTCCCTTTCTCTGCAAGGAGGATACCTAGGTATGGAGTTATAAAGGGCTTGGAACACAGTATAATGAGTAAGAAGGGTTTTTTATTTACTTTTTTTGGTTGGGGGGGCCATAGGGGTTGAAAAGAAGAGGAGAGAATAAGCAGGATTTTCTACAAGAAGACAGGGGAGATTCAGAGTTTACTTTGCTTTCAGGTGGTGTTTGCTGTTGGACTTTGGGGTTGTTATTTGAGAAGTCAGATTTCCTACCTGTGATTTCTTTAGGACCTGTACTGTGCATTTGGTCTTAGCATGGTGGGATTTTGTATTTTTGTGGTGTTGCCTTGTGGTTCTTAGAGGGTGATGGTGTTTGGCCACCATCCAGGACTGGCTCTGTTTTGATCCTTGTGGCTGTCACATTGTGAGGCAGCTATGGGGATTTGGTGAGTGCTGACTTTTTTGCCTTTTGGAATCCAACTTTGAATTCAGAAGGAGAGCCAGCCTTTCTATTGTCTGATTTCACACCATATGCCTTCTTCAATTGTTTTGTGTTTATCTTTAAATATGGGCTCAGTGAGAGCATAAAGATTTAAACATCCTGAAAAATACTGAATTTCTGATTGCATGGTTGGGACGTGGTGGAAACAGTACATTGGCTCATCCTTTACCAGCTATCATGTCTGCATCTGTGGAGAAAGGTAGACTTGGAAAAGGATGCTTGGCCCCAAGAGTATGGCCAGGGTCCTGGTGGTAACCTGAAGCCACCACTGCAATTTTACTAGGTGCATTAGGTTTTGCTTGTAATACATAAACTAAGAATAACTCATGGCATCACCATTTGATTTTCAAAAATCAAACTCTTACATAATATGATCATCAATTCTTTGAAATCAGAGAGTATGTATTTTTAAACTTCCTCTTCCTAGTGTCCTGGCACAGAGAAAGCACTTAATATTTGTTTCGTTTGCTGGAATTTGAACTGTTAGATATAGTGAGAACACTGACGTATGGAGAATGCATGTTAAGAGATTTCAGGTGTCCAGAAGTGATTTGGTGGTGGCAGGAAAGGTTGGCACATAATTCTAGTCCTAATAATTGCTACCATTTACTGAGCATGTACCATACATCAGGCACTGTAGTAGGGTTTTCAGTTATATAATCTCAGTTAACCTTTTAGGGAATACAATGACATGATAGCCTTTCACTTTAAGGGAAAAAGCACCTGTCAGCATGTGTATTATTGATAAAGCCAACAAGAGAGCCAAATGACCCCTTTCTTTCCATCATGAGCTTTCTCAGAGCCATCTCAGAGCATGTGAGATTTGTTTAAAGTGGTATTTAGTTCCTTGTGTTAAGAAGATTGAAGTGGACAACATACACATTGCTTATCTGTTTTTTCCCCAAACTTACCAACCCTGATTTTAATATAACTAAATTAAGTTGTGAAGGACTCATGTACATGAGCTCCCAGGAAAGTCCAAAGATCAAAGTTGAAAGAGGATATTGAGCTCCCTCCCAGATCCCTGGGGCACTCTGTCTGTGGACACGGCCACCAGATTTATCCCGGAGTAGTGGCTCTTTAAGGAACAGGACCAAAGGTAAGCTCATCATCTCCAGAGGTTTGTAGTCTTAGGAAACAATATTATTACTATTAAGTTATTTAGGGGGAAAGAAGGAGGAAAAAATACGAGAACAATCCCTCAATGATTGGTTTTCAACACAGCCTTTGTAACATTGACCCCCTTCTTAGAATTGCTGAGACACTTTTGTAGAGAACAGACTCCCATGTCCAGCTCCCTTTTTCCTTGTTTCACACTGCAGTCGAGCAGCCCGCACGCTTGTGGAAGACTCAGCTGTGAAGTCTGTGGTTTCCTGTGGCACATTCCTAATAATATTTATACAGGCTCTTATTTAATGACCCATATAAATATTTATCATAAGAGCCATCTTTTGATGATGAATAAGGGCTAAACATCAGTGCCGTCCATGCTGGGGACTTGAACAGGAGGCTTTTCTGCCCTTGAAGCATCTCGTGGGCTGAGAAGTGAGGGATGGCCCAGGACCTGTGTGTGGCGCAGCTTGAGCATCTCTGCAGTATTTTTCTTTCTTCCGGCACCCCCTGTCCATGTCCTGTTTTCTCTCTGCCTGACCATCCTCCCTAGGTCCCTATCAGTTTTTCTTTTTAGAGTATTCATCTTTGCCTGAAAAGAATGAGGTGGAACCACTCCTAAGTCATGCTTTGGAAAGCCTCACCGACTCAGCTGCAAATCCCAGCTCCCCTGCTTCTGCCTGCACTCTGTGACCTTCAACAGTGTTATCACTGAGAACCTCAGTCTCCTTTACTGGGAAATGGGCTCATGCTGCTTACCTCATATGGTTGTTAGAAGAATCAAATGAAATCATGTGGGTGGTTTGCAGAACAGAGCTTAATTAATGCCAGTTGTTGCTGCATTTGTTGATACTGTTATTGAAGAAGTGACCAAAAGATTCAGCTTTCAGTTTTTGGTTGGCATCGTGGAAAAAGCCCTAAGACTTGCTGTAAATGGTGGCTGGGGTTCAACTATGGGTGCTGCTGTTTATTGTTTGTGTGCCTTGTGGCAAGTGTCCCCATCCTACTGAGGTGTAAAGTGGGGATAGATTTACCAACTTCATTGGGCTTTAATCAGAAGAGGTTAACACGTTGAAAGTGCCAGACACACAGCAGGATCCTAATCCTTTAAGAAAAAAAAAACAAATTAGAAAAGGGAAAAATGTTTTCCATCCTGCAGTGACTTCATTTTTCTAGCCTAAGAGGCACTGCAATATAGTTTGGAGCCCAGGGTGCAGCAGACAGTACTTATGACCTGGGAACAAAGGGCACAGAGGGGGAAGGCAAGGAAACCCTCTGGCGGAGTTTTTCTGACTCACTGGGTTGAATTTCAGGGAGCCTGCCCAAGGGCTTGAACTTTTCTGCTTCTCTGCTTTCAGGGTCAGGGTCTGGAAACAATCAAAAGAGATCACTTAAAAACTATAATAATGGAAAACGTGGTGAACCTGAAATATTTAATTAGGATCTATTTCTTAGAAAAACATGAACTGAGAGGTGTATGTGAGGCATGCTGGGAAGGTATGATGCCCTTGTTCCTCTGGACTTGACTTTTCCTGACCAGCTCCTTGATAATAGGGTCTAGAAATGGGTGGTTTGCTGGAGAGAAGCAGCATGGTGTTGGGGAAGGGTCCATCTCTGAAGGTGGACACCTGAGTTCTGAGTTGGCCTGTCTCAGACAAAGTAGGCAGGGCCACCCATCAGAGCCCTTGGCCAATAGACATTTAATACATGGAGGGGTATCAGGCAGGGTAGACTCCTGAGAAAACTGTTAGGGACTATGGAACCAGAGGGAATTGGGTCTCTCTCAGCTCTTATTACTTATTAGTTACATGACATACTGGAGTAATTTACCTTCCCTGTCTAGGACTCATTTTCCTCATCAGGTTATCTTCAAGGGTTAATGTGAGAATTTAAAGCTGTAATCCAAACAGGCTGCCTAGTGGTGCATCAGATCCACAGTAAACATGGTACCTTTGATTTTTTCCCCTAAGAATAGGTGTTAAAGGTACCACTGAGTCTGACTTCTCCATTTCCTGCTTTGTACCAGGCGCTGGGCTGGTGCCAGGGATGCTGCAGTGATCCCCGCAGCAGTGGAGTTAACTGTTTAATAGTGAAGCTCCACTCTCCATGTGAGGTGGGGGCTCCCGGAAGGGTGGGCTCTTTCCTGTTTAGCAAAGAGATAGATCCAAACCCAAGAACCAAGGTAAGCCTTGGATCAGCTGCAGAATGGATATCTGCCTATTTGGTGTTACTGGAAATCAGTCAGGCTGTCTGGATGGTGGGTGGTAAGATGGTGTGCTGCCTGCAGAGGAAGAGTGTCAAAAGGGAGGAACCCAGGCAGGAGGAGCTGGGCCCTCCCCAGGGTGGGGGTGAGGGTTAGGGGGTACGATTTCTCTTGTCATTGGGGCTGGCAAGAGTGGAGAGAAGTCTTGATGCTGGCTAACCAGGTCTGTGTAATATGCCAGAATGAGTATATTGATTCTTTGCTTTCTATTTATTTCCTTGTTTCTCCCTGAGGCGCTTAGAGTAGTCTTGGAATGTTCTAGGTAAGGGTAGAGAGTTGTTGATATGCTAAGATTGGTGTTAAGGAGCAGCATCCCTGGGGCCCTTCACAGTGGAGACAATGGGAAGCTAAGAGAAGGAAGCCCAAGGAAAGCAAGATGTGCGTGCAGAATCAGTGGGGAGGTGGAACCTCTAGCTTGGTCAGAGCTTCCTCCTGTTTGAAGACAAAGAAACTGAGGAAGCTGTGAACCAAGGCATTGTTCTGTCTTGTCCATCGTTGTATCCTGAGCTCTGAGCAGTGTGCCTGGCACAGTCAGCATTTCTTCAAATCTCAGATGTCATTCATTGCAAGATGCATCATTATTTCTTATACCACTAAGAAAGAAAGAAAGGGCCACCAATTAATTGTATGGTGCCATGGATAATCAAATGTACTCTGATTTTGGAGAAGCTAAATGGGAAAAATGAGTGTCATAGAATTAATAAAATGTGGTTATAAGCCTCCAATAAATATTTTTAATTGGATAAATGAAGCATTAGAGATCAGAATCAAGACAAAACACCAGTGCATTTAAATACAATTTAGGAATGCACACTATATTAAAACATGAACCTGTTAATCCTTATTTTCTGTTGATTCACTGATTTAGATATTCATTCGGAAAACATTTTTTGGAAACTGATTATGTACCAGAAACTGTGCTAGGAGCTGGAGATGCAGAAATTAATAGTTCCTTTTTTTTTCGGATTCAAGCAAATAAGGGAGAGAGACAAAGAAACAAAAAATTGCAATTTTGAATGGCAAGTTTTCACAGAAAGTAGGGACACGGTGCCCTCGTGACACCAAGGGTTAGAGAAAGGCAAGGAAGTCTTCCCTGAAGAGGTTGTGGTTGACCTGGATCTTAAAGTGTGAGTCCGTGGTCACCAGACTGAGAAGAGAGGAAGGAACTGGAAAGTGAGAGAGCAAGTCTGAAGTGATGGGGCAGCCAGGAAGCCGTGGGGTGCACTTGGGAACCTGCGAGGAGTATGAGGATAGCTGGAGCTGGGTATGAGAATGGCCAGGACAGGGTTGGACGCGGCTGGACAGCAGGCGGAGAGAAGCTGCTGGAGGCCTGAGGTGTCTGTCATGCTGAGGGCCTCAGGCTGTATATCAGCCCTAAGCCAGAGGTTTCCAGCCTTCCTGAGTCCTGAGGGAAGGGCCGGGCAGAGGGACTGCTGGGGGGAAGGGTGGAGGGTGGGGCCAGCTGGTCTTTGCTTCCAAGGGAGCAGCTCTGCTTCCATCTGTTCATTTAAGTTTCCTGAGTAATGACTTGAAGACAAGTGATCACTATTGAATGAATGAAGGAATGTGAGAGGTGAGAACTGGTGCTGCTGGTCCTGTGGAGCCCCCCTGGGTTGTCAGCGAGGGAGAGAGGAGGAGAAAGCAGTAGGCTGGAGCCGGAGCGTTGTTCTGTGAGGCTCAGAGGAAGATAGCCAACGTTCTTACTCCGGTGTCCCCATTTTCCTCTCCACCTGCCAGTGAGCCAGCAAGCCAGAGCGGGCAGGCACCGCTGGGAAATCATTGTGATGAAGTCAGAAGCAGTCACTTTTAATGAAGCTGTTTTTGTCTGGAATACACATCCAGGAAGCAGGGTTGAACATCTGCTGGCTGACTTCGTTTTAGCATCCCCCCAGTGTGACTTTGCCTAGGAAATGTTACCTTCTGAAGTGGAAGGGCGCAGAATACTGCTGCTGTTATTGAAACTGGTCCCTCAGCACTAAGACCACCCCGAGCTCACCTGGGGAGCTGTAGCATGTTTACCAGCGTGGTTGTCTTGGGGGCTTCTTTTTATTCTTTGAAAGCCTGATCTGCAAAGTGAAAGCCTCTGTGAGATTTCCATGTCCTGTGGGCTGAGCTGACCAAAGGGACTTAGAATGGCAATGAAGGCCAAGGAATTCCTGAGTGTTCTCTGGTCAGCTTTCCTTGTAACTCACAAGGGATCTGTAAGGAAAACAGATTCTCTAACAAATTCCTGATCCTGCCTCCCCTGAGGCTCCTTCCCAATTCCCAGTCTCTTCATTATGGGGATGCAGCAGATTTGCCTCCCCTCCAAACCTGCACTGCCGGGAGCTCACAGGTGGGATGGCGGGGCCGGGCTGCCCCTAGCAGAATCCCAGAACTTCTTAGAGACCCATTTTCTCCCCAGTATAATGTGCATTGTCTTAATAATGTGCATTTATAGTTCTTAAGCATGTGAACCTAACATTAAGAGAAGAGTTATGTACCTCTTAGAGTCTCACTTTGATCACCTGTAACACAGAGATTTAAATATACTCATCTTGGGGAGTCCTAGTGAAGAGTAATAGAAGGGAGGTTTGTGCTTCTCACAGGGCTTAGCACATAATAGGAGCTCAGTAAATTATGCGAATGAATGATTGACTGAGTGATGAAGTTCCTTTTCAGTATCATGGCCACTGTCCTTGTTTTTACAAATTCAATAAAAATAAGTGCATATCTATAACCTCCAGATTCTCAATTCTCCTATAACCCTTTATTTACCTTTATAGCACTTTTCACTTGATATTACAACTTTGTTTAAATGATTACACAGTTTATAAATGCTTAATGTCTGACTCCCAAGAATGGGAATTTTGTGTCTGAGGCCATGCCTGTCTTGTTCAGCCACCACTGAGCTCATGCCTATTAGCACTCATCATTTTTATTGGATGAATAAATAATAGAAGGTCACAAGTTAGCTGCACCCCTTTTATTTCCACTTTCAAGAGGTCTTGTGCCTGGCTTTGCAAACCCACTTGTCCTCCATGTAGTTTTTGCCTTTGACCACTGCAGGTGAAGGGAACGCCATGCCTGGTGGAGATCAGGAACCAGGGCGCTACTACGTGGGTGTGGATGTTGGGACAGGCAGCGTCCGTGCGGCTCTGGTGGACCAGAGGGGCATCCTTTTGGCTTTCGCAGACCAGCCAATTAACAAGTGGGAGCCTCACTTCAACCATCATGAGCAGTCCTCTGAGGACATCTGGGCTGCATGCTGTGTGGTCACAAAGGTAAGGCCGCAACTGTGGTGCTCCATCCTTGTACGCGCTTCCTTGCCCCTGCCTGCCGAGTGTGTGTCATGTGTCCACCTGGTGCCAGGGACAGTGTTGGCTGGCCTTTGGGAGCTGACAGTCTGATAGTGATGGAGGCCAGTAGGCAGCTGAACTGTGACACAAATGGTGGTGGGAGCGAAGTGACTATCGCTGGAGCTGAGGAAAGAGTTAACCCTGAGGGGCTCAGGGGCGACATGGGTCAGAGGATGCAGGACGTGCAGACACAGGATGGTCAGGTGTGACCCACTGTGGGAGAAGTCACTGACAGTTCTGACTAACATCTACCTTCAAGTGTGCCCTATGTGGAATAGAACGTGTTAACATATATCATGTAGCTGAATCTTCACAGTAGCCCTATACAAGTAAGCACCATTACCATTTTGTTGAGGAAGAAACAGAGGCACAGAACTTTTAGGTAGCTTATCAAATTCATGTAGTCAGTATTGGAATGGCCAAAAAACCTGTTATGTTTTTTTTTCTGATGGCTGTAGTAGAGCTTAGTTGTCTTTAACTTCATTTGAAACAATTTTGTTAGATTGTATTGTGACAGCTGTCATGTCAGTGCACATTTTTAAAAAAGTGTCAAAAGTGGTGAATTTTTGTGCAGCCATTTTAATAATGAAGATAGAATATACACATTTTCAGTTTGTTATGCTTTATTATTTCAAGAAAGGTAAAAACGCAACTGAAATGCAAATAAAGAGATGTGCAGTATATGCAGAAGGTGCTGTGACTGATTGAACATGCCAGAAGTGGTTTGTGAAGTTTCTTGATACTATTGACATTTTGGCCAAATAATTCTTTGCTGTGGGGCTGCCTTATGCATTGGAAGATGTTTAGCAGCACCCCTGGCCTCTACCTACTTGAAGCCAGTAGTGGGAGATAGCTGATATACTCAAACTATCCAAATCCATAAAGTTACTGGTGAAAATGAAAAATGTCTTTCATTTTATGGAAAAATGCCTAATGGACTTTTTGGCCAACCCAGTAATAGCAGAGGCAGGACTGAAACCTAAGTGGTCTGATTCCAGCGATTCCAGCACTGTACTCTTAGTCCCTGGACTGCCCTGCCTTTCAGACAAGTGAAGGGAGCCTTCTTTTGTTCAGAGGAACAGCATGTGCAAAGGCACTGTGACATGAGAACATGGTGTGTTTTGATGAAGCAAGGAAGTTGGGCAAGCTTAGAGCATCTCTGAGTTGTGCCAGGCAGATGTTTGTCTTGAGTGGCCTTGGACTGGAGTCAGCTTGCTGGTTTGGGGATGGAAGAGATGCTAGCCAAGACTTGTTCATTTTTAGTTTCACTTGACTATTCAGTTTTATATCCTGGTGATCAGAAATGACAGAGATTCTTTCCTCCTTTTTGTTTTTAATAAAGGAAAAATAAAGTCCTGGGTTCTCTCTTCTCCTACTAGTTTAGTTCCTTAAATATTCATGAAGGGCTTGGTAATTTACAGATGGACAATTCACCATTCTGTCCATATTGATCCTTCTGTTTAAAGTTTAATGAGCTCTGAGCTACTGTTAGTGCCCCCCAGAGAAGAAGGCAGAGTGAGGAGGTGGGGGTGGGCAGTACTGGAGCATTATATAGGAATAAAAGAAGGGGTGCATCTTTCCTTCTGCTTGTTTAATTTCCCTCCTCCCTCCCTCCTCTCGCCCCCGCCTTGGTGAGAATCTTCTGCTCATTGCCCTTGGGTCTCCTTTGTTCTTCTAACATATAGCCTTTCTTGCCATTAAGGAAATTGTGAAGAAGAAAATATAATTCCCTGATGAAAAGCTACTTTAAAAAAGGTCTGCTCTAAGAACAGCTTGGTTTAATGGTAGATTTTTAATCATTTCCCAGTGGCAGCCAACTTGTCAAATGCTAGAGCTCCTCAGCCACTTGAGTGCCATGGGCTTGTGTCCATAGCGAGGCTCTGTCGCCACAGCAAACCCGAATGAAGCTGCACTGCGCCCCTCCTTCAGGAGGGAGACGTTTTTATATTAGAGAGGTAGCATACCAGAGAGCACAGGTTCTGGAGCCAGACTGCCTGTATTGCCATCCCAGTTCCAACATTTATTAGCTTGTCATCTTGGACAAGTTACTTAAGGTTTCTTGTCTGATCTTCCTGATCTGCCAAATGAGAATCATAGTTGTACCTCTCTCCATAGGGTTGTTGTGAGCATGTAATGAGTTAATGCATTTAAAATGTCATAACAGTGCCTGGAAATGAGTAAGGACTTTGTTTCCTATGGTGATGATGATGTGATGATGATGATGATGATGATGATGATGATAACAGAAATGAAGGGAATGGATTTCTAAGATAGAATATATATAAATGTCAAAGTCAATTAGGGCGGCAACTCACAGGAATATTCTCACTCCCTTTTTGATTAGAGTTCTTTCTGTGTAAGATTTTGAGAAGTACTGGGCTAGGGCAAAGGCAGCAAAATACATTTTGACCTGTCTCTTCTTCCTCAAGGCCATGAGAAAGTTAAGAGCTTGAGAGCAGTTGTACTACATCCTTTTCCCAAAGTCGTTCACTTGGTTTTCCCTGTCGTCAGGTTAATAAAAACAAGAACAGTAAAAACAATGAGGTGATGCTGATGATGACAATAATGGCAGCTAACTTTGCTTGGGCACAAATTATGTTTCAGGTATTGTGCTGAGCACTTCATAGCAGTCACTTGGTTTTATCTGAATGACGACTTCTTGATGTAGTTTTTACTATTTTTTCTTTGGAGCTAGAAGAGATGAGCTTTGATGTGGTAAGTAACTAGCCCAAGGTCACATGACTAATATGCCCCCACCCCCACACCCCCTTGCTCTGCTGTTGCCCTTCTTTCCAGCCTCCTCTCACCTTGCTTGGAAATCATATTAAACTACCTGAAGTTTTTTTAATCTGCCAGTCACTCTGTGGAGAGCATTGAGCTTACAGCGATTGTTGTGTTAACTATATTGAATCACAAGTGCCTTTACCTGGCTGTCTGCTCATGTGGAAAATGCATGTCCCCTGAGCAGGGGGCCTTATCTTGTTTATCTGTATTTCCCCAGAGTTCCTTGCTTGTAATATACTCAGTTCATATTTGTTCAGTTTATAAATGAATGAAATGTCTGCTATTTTCATTACATGCAACGTTCTTCTCACACTCTCTTGGCCTGCACACCTCCTTAGTATCTTGGCAGGGGTGTCCAGCACGCAGCCTGTGGGCCACATGAGGCCCAGGATGGCCATGAATGTGGCCCAATACAAAATCATAAATGTACCTAAACCCTTTTTTTTTTTGGTCATCAGTTTTCATTAGTGTTTGTATATTTAATGTGTGGCCCAAGATGACTCTTCTTCCAATGTGGCCCAGAGATGCCAAAAGGTTGGATACCCCTGTAAGCTGATGTATTAGGTCCTGCTGGGAGCTGCCTTTGGTGACTCCTGAGAGCCTCTGCCCTCCCTAGCCAACCTCAGAGGGAAGAGAGGGTGACAAGCCCCTCCCTGTGGCCCGAGAGCCCACCATCTTCACATGGATCATTATCTGGCCCTTATCAGAGTGCATGTAAATTGGTGACTGTGAGCTCCTTTTAAACCATGAGCTGAAGCTCTCAGAGAGAATTGTCCTTGTATCCCTAGCATCTAACGCATTGCCTGGCACGGAGTCAGTGCCCAGTACATGGTGGTTGACTTAATGACAGACAATTAAAAAGCGTTCTGGCATTCCTCATCTTATTTGTAACAGTAACTCTGTGAGACAGACTGCCATTCTTCTCATTTGACACATAAGGATCCTGAGGCCCTGAAACTGACTGGTATTAGCGACAGGACTAGACCTGGAGTGAGATGGCTCCAAATCCTCTTCTCTGTTCTCTTTTCCACACCCCTAAAATTGGCAGGTTTATACTGGGTCAGTACCCACACATCTAAAAAGTTCTATGGCAACATGTAAGTTGTAAATGTATACACTGTACCTGATTTTAAGGGCTTATAAAGTTTTCTGGAGCTACGAATCTTAATCACTGACAGGGCGAGAACATTGCAAGTTTGTGTATGATTAGTACCAACTTGCATTAGGAGGAAGAATATAAACTGGAGGTATCATACAAGCTGTGCTCTTTGCTCAGCAAGGGAATGTTTATAGGACAACTTGTGTAAGTTTTCTACCTTTAAGGATGAAATAGTTCAGTTACATGGAAAAGCCAACACCTACGAAGCTAATGAAATATGGTTTTGTTTTAAGTTGCACTGGCTACGTGCGTAGTGGTTGAAGGGAGAGAGAGCAGTATAGGGAGTAGCTTATGTGGGGTTGAGCAATAATGTTAACCTCTTATAGTCATTGAACCTGTGTGGTTTACAAAGCATGTATCCCTTTTTTAAAAATGTTAAACCATTTATTTAAAATTTATTTTCCAATTAACAGTTGACATACAATATTTTATTAGTTTCAGGTGTACAACAGTTATTAGACATTCATATACCTTACAAAGTGCTCATCCTGGTAAGTCTAGTACCCCTCCGACCATATATAGTTATTACAGTATTATTGGTAATACTCTCTATGGTCTACTTATATCCCTGTGACTGTTTTATAACTGGCAATTTGTACTTCTTAATCCCTTCACCTTTTCACCCATTCCCCTGACCCACATTCATATCCATTTGATTGTCATACAAGGTGGGTAGGGAAGGGGTTGTTACTCCCATTTTATCTTTCAAAAGAAAAACTGATACCCAGAGACTTAAGTGACTTTCCCTAAGTTACCCAGAAAATAGGTGATAAGCCTAAAATCAGGTAGGTCAAATATCTGCAGTAGACTCAGCAAGTGTAAAAAGAATGAATGATTAAAGAAATTGGGACCTCCTTACTCCCAGTCAGTGGAGAAAGTTTGAGGAAGGATGTAGGGTTACAGGTGACTGTGGAGAGCTCTTAGGAGTTCTCCATGGACAGAAGTGCCAAGATGGTAATGTTAAGGGGCCAGCCCCGGCTAG